CCAGTGGAAGGAACTAGGCTCCTTGGAGAGATCCACACAAGAAGCCAAGAGCATCTCAGAATGCCAAGAGGCAAGGAAGTGCTCAACACGCACACACAATGATGGGGAAAGGGACTCTCCTGCCCGAAGTGACAACACAGGATCGGACTGTAACCCAAAATACAAAATAAAGCACCACGAGTCAACGCTCATACACATCAGTGATTGCATACATACAAAAACAGGGGAGAACAGGTACATCCCCATGCAGAATTCCGAATAACTGACGGAGCTACACTGGCTTCGAGGAAATGGAGTATAACGCCCACTCTGTAAGTGTGGCTATGCATCATTCATATTCTCCTTCTAAGAAACACAGTACTCAAATGCCAAGAGAGTGTAGTTCCACAGTGGTGAGAGCTCACAACCACCTCAGCCACGGGACTGGATCCTATCGACAGTGATCAGTCAGGAAACAGCAAGCGCCCAGGTGCTGGCGTGACAGAGGGCACTCCACCCATGGGGTCCTGCTCTCCACACCTTAATCCTGACCAACCACAGACATGATCAGAAAAAGCCCAAGGGAGGGATCTTCTATAAAACATCTCTTTAGTATACATCAAAGTGATGTCAAGATCAAACACAAGTATGAGCAAGTGTCACGTCCAGGAGGTACTAAGGAGACATGATGACTGAGTGTAACGTGGACTCCGAGGAAAGAAAAGGGACATTAGGTCAAAGCCCCCCGCTGTCCGAGTCTTCCCAGCCCAGGTCTAGGAAGACATGGAAGGAGGCCTCTCTGATGTCGCTGGCCCAGCTCTCACACGTGGGGCACCACCCTGTGGGGCCCATCAGGCCCCGCTTGTATTGTGGATTCATGCACAAAGTAAATGTTGTTTAAGTCACTGCATGTGGTGCTTGTTACTCAGTGTTAGGTGAATGACAAATCCGGGGAATGACTGACCGACTGACTGGTTTCTTCCTCACACAGGCTGGTGGAAACAGACTCACAAGACCTCACTCCTGCTTTTGACTGCAAGGTGTCTTTTGAACAGGTCCCCATTCCCCATCTCCACGAGTTTCCTGCTTGCTGGGCTGAACTCTGGCACAAACGATCCTGAGCAGGGAAAGAACCAGCCAGAGGCTTAGCCCCAAAGGCCGGGGACAAAATTGCAGAACCCCAGACCTGATTCAGAAGGACTGGACTGAGATCTCCAGGGGTGGTGGCCAAGACTATGTACTTCACCAAGTTTCACACTGTCTGAGGGGACCCTCGGGCACGGGAAAGGAAGAGGGACGCTATGAGAGCAGGCAAGTAGGCTGGAACACACAGCTTTTGGAACAAGAAAATACAGGGGAAAGCCTGGAGTGTTTAGCTGCATTATGGAGCCACATTGCCACCCAGGTGGCGACACCACACAGGCCACAGGTTCTCACCCACTTGATGAAGAACATAACCCTCAAGGAGGCAGCAAGGCTCCCAGTCAGGCTGACTTCCAGGCAGGAACTTCTGCCTCCATCCCAGGGGAATCCACCCAACAGAACACTTGATTTTTCCCCCTTCCCTGTCATTCTCTTAGGGTCATTTCCATGCACTGTCATGCGTTGAAGTGGGATGAAGGCAGAGTAATTGGCCAGTCCCAAATCGCCCAGCAAGTCAGTATAAGAGGCAGTGTATGGGAGGTTTTCACACCATCTTTGGTATATACAATCAGAGAAAATCAAGTGTTTTTATGTGGCCAAGTTCAGGGTTATTTTCCAGTTTAGAGTTTTGTTTACATGTCTGTGTTTTAAATAAATTTGATAATTAAGCCACAAATGTTCCCCCACACACTTGGATACATTTAAATTACAGGCTGCTGATCAAATGAGGTAAAAATCACAAACACGGACATAATCGATGCTTTTTGTTTGTTCAGTGCCTCTCACAGCGCTCAAATGGGTCTGTGAGCTTAATGGCCAATTCCAAGGAGCCAGGAATAAGAAGCTGGGGTGAGGAGGGGTACAGGCAGTGAGACTACACAAAGTGAAACCCCACGGTGAAAGACTGTGGTTCTTTTCTTTTCATTTCATCTGTGCCTGCAATTCATCTCAACAAGCCAGCTCTGAAAACCCAAACAAGCTAGCAAAGGGGTATTTGTCACTGCCTGGCCAGCTGCCCTCCCTACTCATTGTTAACTCCAGAAACTCATTCCTGATCATTGTGGAAGGGAATCAGGGGGCCCTAGCGGCTGAAGTGCCCCCCTATGTAGCCTCTACCCATCCACTGAAATGAAAACCACTGCCTGATTTAGTAAGGAGAGGCTAATTTGAAGGAAGAGGGCAAGGAGATGAGGGGACTACTGAAATAGCGAAGGCTTAGGTCTGCAAGCATTTTAAGGGTTAGGCAAAAAGACATTTTCTTTTATGGGCAAGAGAAAATAAGGCCACAAAGAACTGGGACGTGGGATGTAAGGAGGGGTGTGATGGGACAGTCAGTCAATGTTTTGTCCCGAGAACAGCCTCTTTTCAGGAGGGACTGTCTGCAGGCTCGGGCTGAGTGGGCCAAAGCTGAGTGGCCTGCAGGGTAGAGAATTTAACCAGCTTGGTTAACAAGCATTTCCATGGTCCCCAATGTTAATGGGGTCATGTATTCAGCTCATTACTGTAGGACATGGGATTTGGAGGGTCTGCATCTGGACTTATCAAAGGTAAACAAGAGGGGCAGCCACGATCTTACCTAAGTCACATGGGTGGGTGATTCTTTGCAGCAAACTACCTTACTAAGTTCTCTTCCCCACCCAACACCAGAACAAGCCCAGGAACTATACTCAAATCAGGGTTCTAGAAGCTCAGGATCTTATTCCCTGACCTAGGAATGGAGAAGGGAGATTATGTTCTAGAAGCTGTCTTTCCAAGCTGGGGAGAAGCAGGGACGCGTGGTGGGGAGCACTGAGGAGGCGGAGAGGCTGAAAGATCTGCACTGGCAGGATTTCAGAGCAAGAGGAAGGTGTTTCCATCCACTGAACTCACATTTTTCTCCTATCAAGTTTGGTTTTGACTGTATCTGTCAGGGGGCTGGTGGGTGTTTTACGATGGTGATGAGGGTGTGGCTTAACTGACCCTTGTCTTACTTCTACCCTTGTCTCCCCTGGTTTTCTATGGTTTTGTCTGCAAAAGATCAGGGATGCAAACAGAGCCAGGATTGAAAATTTTCCACAAGGTAAGATAAATGGGAACAGAAGAAGGAGGGAACCGAGCAAGAAAGAGAAACTTATGGCTCAGAAAGTCTAGTGACTGTTTTCCAAAACACAAAGGGTGACTTCACAGTTTTCCAGGAGCACAGACACAGTGCAACTCAACATTGTCACCAATCAATGGGGGGTGGGGGAGGACCAACAATTATGATAGTTATCTAAGAATTTAGCATTTGCTTAGTTTTGTTTATTTAACTCTTTATTTGTAAAGAGCCTTGGAAATGCTGGGTACAAAGCAAATACCCAATAAAAATCTGTTAATCTCACCTGTGAGATCCTTGAGGACAGGGTTTGAATTCATTTCACTGCTTTCATTTTCATTCCAGTACCTGGAATCCAATGACTGGCTTTGACCTTACGAACCTCGGTCTCCCAATCTGTAAATACACATAACCTACACCTCACAGGATTGTTGAGCAAATTAAATACTATTGAAAAATCTAAGGGGTACTGACAATGCCTGGCACTTCTGCTAGCAGTAACAAAGACTCTCTCCCTGACCTAAGTCTGGTCAGGCACTTCCGAGTCCTTTCTGACTACACCACACCCTTGGGTTCTGTCCTTGGCCTATTTAGTTGTTTTATTTTTATTTTTTAAAAAAGATTTATTTATTTATACATAAAGAACTGGGGTACAAACCAGAGGTGCAGGGGCGGTGAGAGAACTCACCAGAGACAGAGTGGGGAGCACAACAGGCAGATGGATGAAGTAAGCTGCCGAGGGGAGAAGCAGGTGAGACAGGAGAGGTCTGCTGCGCCACGTGCATCACCTCCGGGGCCGGGGATCGAACTCTAGAACTCTGGAACTCACTGAAGCTTAAGTGGCTGCAGCTAGCCTCCCAATGCTGTGCTTTAATCCCTTGTGCCAGCAGGGAGGGCCCTATTCAGTTCAGTTTTAAAGGATACTGCTGGGTGTGTTGGAAAAATCCCCTACCGCTGATATCTGATGAACTTCCTCACTCCCCACACTTGGAGTCTGACATCTTGATATTCCTCATGCTTCACCTTGATTACCCAGCAGGCCTTCAGCAAAACTCTTGTCGCGGTGTCAAGCCAACATCCCCCTTGCTGTTGATATTTCGTACTTTCCACCCAGACCCTGAACCTGCTCCCTGGTTATATATCTTCATTTGTCTATGTATTTGAAGCGGAGCCTCCTGTCTCTCAACATGAGCCCCCGGTGCAGTGATCCCCCTGAAAAAAACCGGCCTCGCCGTCTTTTAACAAGTAGAATGAATAAATGCTAACACTAATAACTAAGTCGCCTTCCCTTAGCTCCTCAGACTGCAAACCAGGCTGAGCAGACCATGATACTGCCGCCATTCAAAGTTTCAAACGGCCTCCAAGGAGTGCGCTCGAACCTACACTCCCAGCCAGATTCCCCATGCAGGCACACGGCAGCGGTGGCAGAAAGAGGCCTCTGGTCCCTGCCCACCACTCCACACTGAAACCGAGGCCCGCTGGTCACTTGGGGGGTTCGAATTCTGCACCTGCGACTTTCCAAAAGCAGAGTTTGGAACACTCCATTTCACAGCATCTGTTTCCATCTCTGTCAAACAGGAAAAACTAAGGACCATAGTCGTAAGGGCTGGATAAAATGGTGACGGAGCTGCTTCACACAGGCGCCGTGTCCGGGAGTGGCAGCTTACTCATGTGTGAGGAAAAACGAGGGGAAAGCCCTAGAGCGCCGCCCTCACCCACCCAGCCCGTCCGCAGGGCTGGGGCATCGATCACTCGGCGCTCCTCTGTGCACTCAGACCCGACCAGACGAGCCGTAAGTGATCGACACTCCTCGCCGAGCCTTACTCGGTGAAGAATTGGAGTGTCCCAAGCAACAGGAACAAGTCGTGGCCAGTTCCTGAACAACTTGACACGGTCTGGGCGCGAGAGAGGTGAGAGTGGACAACTCCACAGTGCGTGCAGCCCCTTAGAGGCGGAGGGGGCCGAGCTGAGAGGGAAGGGCTGCGCAGGCGCCACGTCCAGGCCTGAAGCTGGGACGGAAGGCCTCGCGCGTGCGCCCTGGAAAAAGCCGAGGGGCGGAGGGGGAACGAAGGCGAGGAAGACGCTCTTCCGTGAAGCGAATCTGAGCAGGGCGGGACGGAGATGCGAGCCGGCGCAAGCGCCGCGAGAACGCAGTGCAGCCGTCCGCCACTCACGCGCGGCGTGGAGGGAGGAAAGTGCTCCGCGTGCGTACGCCGGCAGCTAACCTGCGCGCATGCGTGAGCCGGCAGTTAACGTGCGCGCATGCGTGAGCCCGCTGTGGCGCGCTTGCGCATTGTTGCAATCGCCGGGACTCAGGCCGCAGCGCGGCGTTAATTTCAGCCTGGGTTCGCTTCGGTGCGTGCGGTGGCGGTCGCGGCGGAATTCCCCAGGGTTTGTCCTCCAGACTAACAGGAGGCACTTGAGCCATCCAGTTACAAATGGAGGCGCGCCAAGCGAAGCCCCTGAGAAGGCGCCGGGGAGGGAAAGTGTGAGGCCTGGGGTACGGGGAGGGACTGGGGGGGTGTGGGAAGCCGAAGGAGTGGCGCTTCTAAGTCGGAAGGGGCCCCCGCCGAGCCCCAGTTTCGCGTCATCTCCGGCAAGATCCAGCGAGGGTAACTCCCCGGGCCCACAGGGGTCTATCGACCCCGAGGGAGGACCCAGCGCGGTTGCCAGTGCTGCCCTTGGAACGCCGAGGGCCCCTCCCCGCCCCTCCGGGAGGAGAGCTTGCTCAACAATTTCCAGGCCTCGCAGGACACCACCACAGCGCTCTCTAGAAAGCTGCTGGCTTTTGCAGTTTCAGCAGAATCCTACCACAAAGAAGTCACAGAACTGGGCGACCTCCTCCCTCAGGCTGGTAAGGCCTGGAAGCCACCAGCCAGCGCCCCTGGGACCCGCACACTGCCTGCTCAGTGACTGCCTCTGGGATGACTGGTAGCTTCCTAGGAGGCTTCACTGTGTCGCCAACAGGGGGCTGTTGAGCTGAATTATCTACCTAATGAGCGCTGGCCCGTGGTGAATAGATGAAATCAGGACCCGAGAGCATTCAGGCTGTTTTGCGCAGCTTGTACTTGACCCCTGTGATTATTACAAGAAGCTTGTCGTAAGGCTTCCCTGGGTGCCAAAAGCCAGTAGGGTTCGTTCCTATAGCCTTCGACACTCTTTCCTAGATCATTTCATACACCTCATTCCTCCAAGAAAAGCTGTCCCATGTCATGGGGCCGATGCATGTGGCTCAGGACGGTCATTTTACAAAGCCAGTACACAAGACAAGTCAGGCTCTTTGTGTTCCTGACACCCTCGTTCAGAGGGTTTTCCCTTCAGAGAAAGTTTTTTTTTTGACCAACAGGAAGTATTTAAAAGCAATTGCTGTCCAACTCTAGGAGACTGACAAAGTGAGAATCCAAGGCCATTCTGGCTTTTTCATATGACCTGTCATTATGGTGACCAGGTCTGTTTCCTTGGAATCACCCCACGTTATGACTTAGTCAAGCATAAATCTTCAATATTAGGTATGTGTCTAGCCCTGAATTACTCAACTTGTACAAGATGAAACTCCTTCTTGAAGAAAGTTCCAGACAATAGTAAACAAGAAAAATGATGAGAAAGAAAAAATGTTTAAGTAAATTGATACTTTACCAAGTCAAAAAGTTTTCAAGACCTGGATATAGGCTCCCGGTTTGGTTGATAAATTCTATCATTAATCCACCTGTACTTGACCCGTTAAGCCTTTTATGTGGCTCACTGGGAAGTCAGTTTAAAGACCATCCACAGTGCCACTCAAGACACTAATACCTGCCTCCCTCTGGAAGTCCGTATAATACAGCTTTTCATAAAAAGCAGTGAGGAACTCTGGGAAGCCGATCAATAGTGTCACATCAGCTGCTGGGTTGATGCTTCCCTGGGGAAAACGGCTTGATGCAGTTAGGAAAAAATCATTTCATTAGACCAGAGCAATGGGAATGCTGGGAGGCTGGCTGGTTAGGCCAGGTCAGGTCACTTCACAAAGGCAGTTCCATGCAACCTGTACATGACTTTCTCTAGGAAGCCATGCATGTTTGTATGAAGGCTGCTTCTTGTGGCCTATATATGAAGCGGGCTCCTTTGAAACATAGGTTGATACAACCACAAGATGTTTCACCAGGCTAGAGGAAGGCCATTTCATCTGGCTAAAAGGAGCCAAGGGAGGCTGATCTCAGGGATTAATTGATAGAACAAGCAGAACATTTTCCTGGCACTAAAAAAACCACAACAGTGGTTTGTAGACGTAAAAGAATCTGGTTTTCACCTGGCCCTCAGTCAGGGACCTGGTGTGTAAGGAAGCTAAGTTTTGAAACAAGTCATGAGGTCACTTGGGAAGTAGGGTGTAAAGCCTTTCATTATGACTGTATTTAAATGTCCAAATCATAAAAAGTTCTGGAAAGCATGTGGAAATAAAGCAGAAGACTACTCAGGTAACGGCCAGCATGTCACCTCATGAAAGCTGCTTCATGTGGCCACCAGAATGCCTCTGGGAGGCTTTAGCGCTTTAGGAACAATCGTCAGCCCTTTGGGTTGGCTACACGTGGCTGGCACAGATGGTCTGAAAAACCACTTTGAAAACTGGAACTTGACTCTTCCTGAAGCTCCCACCTCTGGAAGGCTATTGTATAGTTGCGGTAAAAGGGTCTCTGAAGGTCTTTTGATAAGATCTTTCGCTGAAGAACTCTGTACTAACAATAAATCACTGTGGCCAAGAGGAGACTTGTACAACCCACTTGAAGCCCTCTTTCCCAGGAGGCTCACGTGACCATCAGCAGGAGGCACTCAAGGCCAAACTGCACAGCAGCTCCTAGGTCACCACAGGAGGCCACTTTAGGAAGGCCAGACCTGAGACCACTTGGAGGCTTCCTTTGGGGCCTGGCTTTCAAGGCTGGTGAGCTCTAAGGGGGCTTTCATAAGGTCGCCCTGGGAGGCCGGTTTACAAAGCCCCTAACCTGTATCACAGAGCTGCTTAATAGCTGGTAAAAACCCTCCGGGAAGCCATTTTGTAAGGCCACTAAGAAACCAGTTAAGCTGGTACACGAGGCCCCGTGGAAGCCACCTTATAGTAAGGCAAGTAAAAAGTCTCCTGGGAGGCCTTTTCATTACGGACCTCTGAGAAGCCTGGCTATGAAACCGCGGAAGTCTTTCGGATACTCAAGATGAGACATCTTGTGGTTGTTTTTTAAGACCCACGAGACACTGAGGACAAGGGAAGCCAGTGATGGGTGCACCGCTGTTTTGTGTATAACAAGCAAGTCCACACTGGAAGGCTGTGACTGTAAACCTCTCCAGATGGCTGCTAATGAGGCCAGCAGGACACTATACACCTAGGAGACTAAAGAGAAATCCTTATGGCAAGTGTGGGCAAACGAATCTGGTTCTCTTAGTCCCATCACTAGCTAAACGAACTGGGAATACCACATATCCAGTGAGCCAAGGCCTGAGCTAGGATGCAAAGACCCAAAAGCTGGTGCAGTCCTCAGCCCTGAAGCCAGAGAGTGCTCTGGGTTGACACTACCCGTGCGGTGTAATTATGAGAAAAGTGCTTAGACGCCCAAATCTCACCTTCGTGTCCTTGCATGGCTTTACTTCCCTGTTTACTCCTGGCTTCATACACAGTAGGGCTGAAGGAGACTGCGCTTTCTCCTGTTCTTTGAGTTATAGATCCAGTTCCAGGGGATCCAGGAAATCGGAGATGTTGGTTACTAGGTTTTGCATAATAGATCGCCATAAAACTTAATGGCTTGAAAGAATACACACCTGTGATCTCCGTTTCCATGGTGGGTCAGGGAGCTGAGTGGTTTTGCAGGGTCTGCCCATACCCACCAGGAGGGGGTTAGGTCAGGGCCGAGTCACCAGATGCGTGGATGATAGGCGGCCTTCAGTCTGCCGCTGGAGGAGGGCCATGGTGCTTCTCACAGGAGGGGAGCGATCTGAGGTGGCTTTATCTCAGACAGGTGTTCCCTCTTGCCTTCGCCATCCATCGGTCATGGTCCTTGACTAACAATTATTTTCACGGGTCAAGTAGAGCTCTTTGAAATCATCCCTGGCTGGCATAAGTAAAGGATTTCTGAGGAGGCCCTTGGAGCAGAATCTATGGAAAAACTATACTCGATTTGGAAAAGAATAAAAAAGTACTTCTGTCACCTAGGAATTGGGGACAATCATCATTAGGCCCTAGCACAGAACAGCTGACACAGAAACTTCTATGAGTGTAGAAGATCAAGTTGATCTAGTTGATCTGCCTAAAGGTCACATTTGAGGGGGCACCTTCCAGTTGCCTAGCTTGGATCACATCCTAACTCCTTGGCAAAATCCCCACAGCCTGACCTCAGCAGGGAAAACAGAATTCCTCAAAAGGAAATCAAGGTGTCTTGTTAGAGTTGAGCCACCAAGACTCAACAAATACCCTCTACCTTCTCTGCATCTGTTTCCCCATTAGGAAGGAGTTACGGTGTTGGGACAGCCTAATTTGAAGCAAGCATCATCAACACTTTATAGTGACTAAACACAATGCACATTTGCTTTTGTGCTCTTGCTCTGAAGTATTCCGGCGTGGATATTCCTAGGGAGGTGGCTGTCTTGTGGCTCTGCCATTCCCAAGGACCTGGAGTCCTCCCCTTCCCGCCAGCGGGAAGGACAATTACATGGTGAAGCGTGTGTGCCCAGCAGGGAGCGAATCACCCCGGAGGTGTTCCACAGGAAAGCACAGCAAATGATGGGGATCGAAGGGTACTTTTTTTTGGGGGGGGGGGGATACATATTTTTAAAATTTCAGTAGTTGACAACATTGAAGGTTCCCCTCCCGTTTTATTTTATAAAAACACATCTGTATTGAAGCAGACGGTATAGTAATTTGCTCTTTACTTCCTCCCCCACCAGCACTGGCAGGTGTCTAGCACACACACACAGCACCAGGCCGTGCTGGCAGAGGCCCAGGGCAATGGCTGAGGGCAGCGCCCCTGAGTGCCCGGGTGGGCTCTGGGAGGCCCTGAGGGCGCTGCTGCCCCGCACACGGGAAGAACTGAAGCTGGACCTCGGCGAGCACGTGGAGGCTGGGGTGGCATTGCTGCTGCAGAGGGCTACCCGGGAGTTCTACGCAGGCCAGTGGCGTGAGTGTCTGCAGTCGAGCGAGGGGATCCTCGACTATGCCTGGGAGAGGCTCAACACCGGGCCGTGGCGGGACGTGCACAAAGACTGGCGGCGAGTCTACGCCTTCAGCTGCCTCCTGAAAGCTGTGTGTCTGTGCCGGCCACCTGCCGACGCGGCCACGGTGGCCGCCGCCCTCAAGGTCTGTGACATGGGCCTGCTGATGGGCGCGGCCATCCTGGGCGACATCCTCATTAAGGTCGCAGCCATCCTCCAGACACACCTGTTCTCTGGAAAAAGGCCTGGGCCAGGCCCTGCCCTGGAGCAGACCAGCCGGAAGGTAAGTGGTGGAGGGCCCTTGGCACACCTGTGCTTTAGAAGTAACAAGCCAGCGTTGCCCAGGGCCCAACCTCCCGTCAGGGCCCGCCTCCTGCTGAAAGTGAAGCTCCGTTGAGGTGGAGAGGTCTGTTTTCTCAGTTATTTTCCCAGTTTCTGCAGAAGCAGCACCGTTTAAGGAGAGGGGCAGCAAGAACCTTCGTGGTTCTTGAGAGGCGCTGGCCAAGGCAGCAGTGTCGACGTGGCTTAGAAGGCGAGAGCTTTCTTAGCTCTGCCTCGGCCGGCTGGGTGGATCTCTCCTTGCCGGCTGCCCTGTCTGCCGAGTAGGGAAGCAGCGGTACAGCGAGCTGGCTGCCGGCCGCCTGCTATCTAGACCCTCCCTGTGTCATGGCTGGCACTTCAGTGCCAGGCTGGTTTGCTCCACAGCCTGCCTCTTACTGTTCTCTGGGCAGGCAGTGGCCTCTCCTGAGCCTGTGCCCACTTCCATAAAGTGGCTGTTGGAGCACAGATCCCAGAATGAAAGGCTTGGCTGGACTGGACACAGGAGGGGGCTGTGGGCCAGTTTCTAGGTGGTTTGCAGTGTTTTCCGAATTTCCTGAGGTGGGTTTTTATGTAAGAATTGCATGTATGTAAGGATGTCATCAAATCCACATGCATGGAAACGTAATTGAAAGGGAATCCTATGAACAGAGAAGAGAAATTTGCAGCAAATCTGTCAGAATAAACATCTCTTGTTAGAGAGGAATTGCGCGAGTCAGTGTGGAGGAAAGCCTGGGCCTGGCGGCTGACGGAACCTTGAGACAGGTTGTTCTCAAGGAAGAAGCAGATCACTGGGCAAATTTCCCCTCTGGCTAAAAAAAGTAGAAAACCTGTAAGACGCCCTTTGGGGTTGTGAAATGATGAGCAAAGTTTTGCTCTCACCCAGAGGCTGCCCCTGCCCCTCCCCTGACCAGATCTGTCCTGAGGAGCTGTAGAAGCCACTTCGGCTTCGTGGCCAGGGGCTGGGGAGCGGAGCAGAGGAGGCAGCATGTATAGAGCAAGCTCTGGACTCCGCCTGCCCTGGGTGCAAATTCCTCAGCTGCCACCCTCATTGCCTGTGGGTCTGGCAGGTGTTTGGGGATTTGGGG